CTTTCAGAGTTTAAAGCTTTGGAATGAAAAGAAGTAGCCATTTGATGTGCTTAGAATTTGTATCCGTTATGATAAAATGGGGGAGCAAAATACTTTAGAATCTTTTTTTTTTTTTTTTTGCGAGTGCTGTATTTTAGGAGCTGAAAGATGACTCCATTTTTCAAGCTCCTGGGTTTAAGAGATAACTTCATAGTTGTTATCACACTGAATATATTTAATCATTTATTTCACTGGATGTTAAGAAAGCAAATGATCTATTGCATATAGAACCCACCATGTACTGGGCTCTGTTTTAGGGAGAGAGAAGTAGGAATAATTCCTTCCTGCCATTGTGGAACATCTCACAGTGCACTGTGGTTCCAAGTATTGCAACAGACATAATTAATGTTATTATTTATATGTTCATCTAATTATGTATGATACCCTTAGGTAGATTATAGACACAAAATAGAAGATGTACAATTCTGCCTATGTATATTGAGAAATTGAGGGAGATTTTCATAGAAAGACTGTACTTGATCCAGGTCTTGAATAACGTTCAAAGTCGTAAAGGTACACTTTTTGTCAATGACCCCTGAATAAGTTTAACGCATGGGGGCTGAGTGATATTCCTAATGCATCCATTTAATTATACCTAAATTTTGAAGATATTTACTTATTTGCTTCAGTTTCTCTTTTAGAAACAGCTATGATCATCCAGAAAGCAAAGTAAAACATTTCAGAATGATTAAACATTTTTGCCTTTTTTGAAAATAGAAAAGTGTAATAGTTGCTTTTAAAAAATGATTTTTTTCCTATGGAAGAAAGATATTCATTTCTTTCAGTCAGATGATGACTGAAAATAATTGACTCAAGATTTATGGAGTAACAACATCATGCAACATCTTTCTTCGTATATAAGGGCTGTTTTAAGAAACTTAATTTCTGCTTCTTCATTCTTATATTTCCTTTGATTAATTGGTACAAAATCATCCCAATCCTTCTTCAGAATTTATGGACAATATCTTCTTTTCTTCCTTCCTTTCTTTCTTATTTTCTTTCTTTCAACCAAAAACCAAGTGTGGTTCCTTAGTGTGAAGATTACAGCTCCTTAAGTGGGTCAGGTATGTCTCAGTGATAGTCCTCTTGAGAAAAGGCAAGTCACAGACATTTTTACCAGGATGGAAAATGCATGGAATAGAGCAAGTGGCCCTTCTTTGACCTTCAGTCATTTTTTAACAGTCAAGGAAAGTGGTTAGTATTCCAATTAACACCTTGGAGAAACTGCTAGCAACGAATGAGTAGCACACCAATGAGTGAAGGTGAATCTTGCTCGGTACATCCTGTGCAAAACAATCTTTTCGTCAGGGAAAATCGAAAGCTACAGAAAAAAAGCAAAAAAACCAAAAAACCCCTCAAGAGTGGAGAGAACAACCAGGAGACTATAACATCAAGGCATTCCAAATGCCCAACAAAGGCGCAGCGGAGTTATTTCAAAGGCATTGCAAACCTTTGATCTGACTGTGGCGAGGACCAGTCTCATCTGGCCAGTGGGTAAGGAGATCACTGCCTGCCGGGGTCTGGGCAATGCAGCAGCTCTTTGGAACAGGAAGAGAAGCAATGCAAACTACTCCCTTTATGTAGATGGTACTCAAAAGGAAAGACTGTGTGTCATTTCGGGTGGAGTCACAGAGCCTCAACAGTGGTTTGATACTGGATTTTGAAAGCTCTTCAAGCATGTATTTACATTGAAAACTATAATAATAAACAGTCATTTAGCATCGAACTTTCCTAAAAGTGATTATTGAAGGGAAAACTGCATAGTATGACACAACTCTACTAAAACCAAACTACATAATTACCTCTTGACCCCTTTCGTTAAAGAAGCCATGTGTCTCACAGACTGAAGTTCGAAAGAGCACCATGCTAAGTGGGGACTCAGGCAGCCATGCCTTAAATGTACTGCCCTTTCTTTCCAGCACAGTGGAGGAAGAGGCAGCAATTCAACTGGGCAGGATAAAAATACTGGACAGCTTTCTGGCTCCTTTGAAGTCAAGTCTTGACAGGATGACTTCATTAGTTTTATTCAAGCATCATCTGTTCCCTAAATGACACATGGATTTCAATTCAAATATAAGCAAAGAAATATAATCCAAAGACAAACGTAACTTGTTTGGTGATTATCCAGTGTTTATAAATATTCACACCCTGGTTCTCCTCCAGGGCAAACACGAAGACCATGGAGAGCTGACTGTACGAATCATGATTATCAATTCTGATCAAGTCATTAATCTACTCGGGGACTCAAATTCCTTATGTTAAAAAAGGTGGGGAAGGAGCATTAAGTTTAGTATTAGACTGGCCTCTTCTGAAAAGTTTCATCAGGTTAAGTTACATGATTTTAAAGAATTAATATCTCAGAGATATCTCAGATGTCAAAATGATTCAGCAGACCAAACCTTGGCCATTGTGGCTATTCCAATAGCTAAATGTGGGTTGGTTCCATTTTCTCCATGCCCCAGCTGCTAGTATAGTTTATCTTCTGATTGAACTACTGTAGTATTTTCATAAATGATCTCATTGACTTCAGTGTAACGCCCAAATCTGTTCTCTACACTTGCATTTTACAAAGTGTATTCTTGGGAACCCTAATCCTATGAGATATTTGGTGAAGAGAAAAACAAAAGTTTCCATAGTGAAATAACTGGGGAAAGTTGTTTATCCCCTCTCTTGGAGAAACAAAACAGAGATGAGCAAGTTAAAGATTTTGAGAAATTTAAGTAAACGATTAAGTATGTTTAAATAGTTTAAATATGCTTCACTTATCATTTCCCCACATTTATTTGACCAGAAATCACTTTGAGTCAGAATTCTTAATACACCAATGTTCCTGGAGGATTCTTTGCGAAATATTGGTCTACATTTTTGTTTGTGACCATTCTAAGATAAAAATATGACTGTGCTTAAATGTTGCATTGGTTATCCCCTTCGCATAGGGGCAAGTTCAAAACTACCCAGCAGGGATACAAGACTCTTCCCTGGGTACTTCTAGATCTCATTTCCAAACACTCCCTGACATGCTTTGCCTGTTTTCAAACTCTGCTCTGCCCTCTAATACCTCCTGTGCTGTGCTCTTTGCCTGGACTCCCCTTCCCTTCACATCCTGATGGAAAATTCCTATCCAGCCGTTAGATACAGCTCAAGCATGGCCTCCCTGTGGAGGATTTCCTCGGCCATCACCCCAGCCTTTCCCATAATCAGCAAGCTTCCTGTACTTGTTCTTGCAGCCTTCTGGGACACCCCTCGTAGGAGTTTCTACGTGTATAGATGGTTCGCGTTGCAGTTGTTTTTTGTGCCTGTCTTTTCCATTGTGATTCAGACTTCTCAACAGCAGGAGTATTTGCATAAGTATCCTTTAAAAGTGGGTTAAAGTAAGACTTTAGTAAAGTTTCTAAAAAGAACAAATTAATATATGAGGAAATTTTTCAAATACATAGTTGTAATGGTAAGTGGAATTTCCAAACGAGTTAGATTGAACTCTCCTTGGGAAGGAGAATGTAGAAACTATCTTTATTTTTATTTGGGGGGCTATGGATTTACTTCCTGCTTTAGGGCTGTAATTTGTATTCTTGTAAGCTGATTCTATCTAGGCAAATTTATGAAAATTTGATGTGAGTTGAAAAAAACCTCAGAGATCTCCCAGTGCAGTTATTCAGACATGTGAACAATCGCAGCAACTCTGAAAAGTCTATTATAGCCTTTGCACTGGGTATTTGGGGAGCCCAGAAGATCAGGATATAGCTATTTGTTGCGGAGTGTAGGCAGAATGGTGGCCAGGACAACATCTAATAGACTGTGATATTAAGCATAACCGCAGGGAGTATTTAATTCATCATGCTTAGAAACAAACGCAAAAGCTGAAGTGGGATTTTCATTTTATGATAATGCTGGAATGCAGTGTTGAGAACAAGATCAGCGTTTCCATTACTACAGAATACTCAGTAAAGCTAAAGCCAAAGCTAAAATGTAGCTCTGCTGCAGCATAATAGAGTGTCTCTGCTCAATACCCTTGTTTATCTTCCTGCATCAAAGTGATAAATGAATTTCTAACTACCTTTGAGATTTCATAACTCTCAGAAGCAATGCTTTTCTATTTTAAGATGATTTCAAAGAAAAATCAAATATTCCAAAAACCATGTAGGCAGTGCTTAGAATTTGTAGGCAAACAGATGAATCTCTTTACAATTAATTATAAAAGAGAAAAAAAGCTCACCTTCTTCCTGTTCTTCCTCCAATTTTTTTTTTTTTTGCTTCAGAAAACTGGACATGGTTCAGTAAAGATACCCCCTTAAAGAAACATTTCCCAGTGATGACAGTGTTTGATAGGCTGTGATTCAAGCCCTCCCGATTGGTGAAATATGCTGCTTTTAGACTGAAAAATGATGTTACTATATCATGTCGCTAGTCAGCCATGCACTTTGAGTCCCTTCCTGCACGGAAAAGGGTTATACCAAGCCATCTGCTCAGATGCTTTCAGGAAAAGCAAGACTCATTAATTTTCCTCTTTAACAAGAATGCATTGAGCTCTGCTTTGTGTTTGGCATTGCACTAGAATACAGTGATGAATGAAGATTGTTCCTGACATCATAGTAGGGGAAAGGAAAAAATTGTTTTTGCAATGCAATGGTATAATGTTATTCCAGGAGTGAGGATAAGATGTTACGGGAGTACACAGTGGAACCTCTAATCTAGCCCTGGGAAGCATTCAGATGGGGAACATTCTTTAAGGCAACACACATCAGAATAGCTCGCTGACTATCTGTGTTAGATGTCCAGTCTGTGGCTGGGTCACATAGTCCTTCTCTATCAGCCTGTTCAGCAACTTGATCTTATTAGAATGATGCTAAACTGACTCCACTGTGGGATGTTGCTTCGTACTCTTCATAGCAATATACAGTTACAGTTACGTCTACTTATGAAACCAGGGAGTTTTTTTTTTCTTTCTTATCAAAAGAAATCTGTGTTTTAGCACATTTTATGAGAAACAAAGAGGAATAAGGAAGCTTGGGAGTGATGGATATGTTCATTATCTTAATTATGTGATGGTTTCACAGGTGTATATATGTCAAAACTTAATCAAATTGTACACTTTACATGTGTGCACTTTATTGTGTGTTGAGTATACTTCAAAAATCTTGAAAATAATATGTTAGGTACACCACTGCTAAACAAATCTAAGAGATCACTGATATTTCAATAAATGATTTCTACTAATCAGGGACTTAAATTCACTGGATTTGCTGTCTCTCAATCCTGTCTTCTATTTCCAAATGCATCAAGGGCTGCACTAGATTAGAGTTCAGAACTCATCTAGACAGAGAGAAAGGCACTGCTCACTGGGGCCCCTGCAGGGGAGGAGGTATTATTTTGGGTGGAGGCGGCAGTTGATAGGTAGTGAACTGCAGCTAATTCCTTGGAAAATTTTCAGAACTGGGAAGCCAACACAAAATAATTTGGAGCTTGTTTCTAGCTGGCATCAATTTGCAGCAAAATATCAGGGCTAAAGGCCAGGAATGGAAAGATGGGTAGTTTGGAATAATGGTGCTAGAGACTGACTACAGGAGGCTAGTTCAACAGGGGCTTGCTTTCTTGATCATTTATAGACATGAATGCAGCACAAGGAAATAAATTAATGTGGGATGAAGGGATGCGTATGGGTGCAGGTTAAGACATCCCATATCCTTTCCAATCCTCAGAGACCAGATGACTCAAAGATTAGGTGGAAAAAAAGGAAACAAATTAGTCACTACAGACGTTCCTGTAACTTTCCATTCTTATTGCCAGAATTGTCCCTTAATGCCTCAATGGCTCTAGCTTCATAAAACAGGAAGTTCTGATGCCATTAGGGGACTTTTGTGTGCGTAATGATAGGGTACTTCATGTCTCTGAGGCAGCAGGGGAGGCGGGGCCTCTCTGACACTTGGTACTATGTTTCTCCTTCCCCCACTTTCCTACCCAGGTCCAGAAATCCCCTGCATACCTTGTAGCTGGCACTTCACTTTCCTGTTAGACAGAGTACACAGCTCACCTGGCCTGGCTCAGACCAGGCTAGGGTCAACTCAGCCCCTCTGCTCACCCCTTTCAGGGTTCTCATCACTCTGGGTGTGAGTGCCTATTCTCGCATCTACATTCTCCATGAAGCATGTGCTTGTTCAGAGGAGGGAGCAAGTCTCCTCTGCACACTGTTGTGTCCCTAACACAGGGCTAGGTATACAGTAGGTACTTAATAAATATTGCTAAATGGATGGATGGGTGGGTGGGTAAAATCTTTCTTATATATACTTTGCTGTAGTTCCAAACATGTGGATTGACTTATCTAGGTTTCACCAACATTACAGTTGGTAGTCCATAGCAATCAAAAACAATGAATGGAACTAAACAACTGAGTTGGCAAAACTGTTGTCTTCATCCCACTGAGATTTGTAAATGATCCCCAGACAAGATCTTAGCAGTTAGAGGGACTCCAAAGCCGGGAAATCAGTAGTCACTTAACACATTCAGAAATGCCACTCAGGAAGATGTGTAACTTCCTTCCCTTGACATTGGAAAAGCTCCTAAACCACCCTTAGTAATTTTAGTCAATGAAATTCAATCTCATCTAAACACAGAAAGGTTTTAAATTATGGCCTAGTTTTAAATTATAAATAGAACACTTGAAAGTTTAAGGGTAACTGGAATTCTTTCAGAGACATGTCTCTCCTTAAGGTACATTGGGTTATTGCCTAAAAGTAATAGAGGTTATGCATCAAACAATGGACAAAGTATTTTGGGGGCAATCAGTGTAGCTTAGTGGAAGACATTGCTACATCAGAGGTATTCTGCACTCACTTGCCTAATTCTGTGCTTTTAAGAATGTTCTCCAGGCCCTTCCTAACCCCCTTCCTAACCATGCCCCTCCCCATGGGGTAAAAACTCATCTCCTATAACTCGGCTCAAGAATCACTTTCTCTAAGAAGCCTTTCCAGACACGGACCCTGCTTTTACCCAACATGCCCTTACAACTGAACTCTCTTCTTTGTGCTTCTGCTTTTTCTTGTCTGGATGTCAGTTATAGCAGCTGTAACATATACATCCCTTTACCAGACCATAAACCAGGATCTGAAGTGTGGGAATATTGTTTTATTCAATATCATATTGTCAGCAAAAATGACTATAGTCCTCCCTTTCCAGCAGTCAGTAATGTATTTTTTTCTTTTTGAACTATTTTTAAATTCTAAATACTTTTATTTTGAAATAATTTTAGATTTAAAGAAAGTTGCAAAACCAGTACAGATAGTTTCTGTGTTCCATTCATCCAGCTTCTCCTGATGTTCACATCTTCCATAACTATGGTACCATTCCCCATATTAAGAAATTAACATTGGCACAATACCGTTAAGTATAGATATTATTTGCATTTCACCAGTTTCCATTGAAAAACTTTGTCCTTTTTCTTTTCCAGAATCCAGTGTAGCATACCAAATTGCATTTACTTGTCTCCTCCAAACTGTGATAATACCTCTGTCTTTCCTTATCTCTCATGAGAATAGTGAGGAAGAGCAAGGTTTGGTGAAAATGTCAGGAATGCAGGACATGTTGGATATGGGTGTTAATTAGGCATCCAAGTAGAGATGGGAAGTAAGAAGCTGGACATTTAAGTCTGAAGTTCAGGAGGAGGTTTGTACTAAAGATATAAATCTAGGGGGTATCACTACTTATAGGATCTTTAGAGCTCTGAGAATAGATCAAGTCGCCAGTGCAGGGGGCACAGGTGGAGAGGCGCACAAGGTCAAGGACCAAGCTGGATGGCCCCAGGTCAGAGGTCAGGGAGCTGGGGCAAAGCCAGCAAAGATGGATGAAAAGGGACAGCCAGAGTGGAATGAGGAGTGTGCATGTTCCTTCAGTGGTAGTCAGGGAAGGCAGTTTTCTACTGTTTAGGAAAAAACTCTGGTTTTTTTTTCCTTCTTTTACTTTCTACTACTCAAATTCTCGGACACTTCTAACACCAGATGTGCGGGTTTTCCACACCACGTAGTCCTGACACTGACTGCCTGGAGTTAGCATTGACCCCATAAGTTAAGGGCTCAGTCCCACAGACTGCCCCCACTTCAGACACCAATCACATATAGTAGATCCCTCAGGTACCAACTTCTGCCTGACTTGGTTTCCGTGACCCCTTCCTTGGGATCAATCATTTGCTAGAACAGTTCACAGAACTCAAGGAAGCACTTGTGTTTACCAGCTTATGACATAATAAAGGATATGATAAAGGATACAGATGAACCCTCAGATGGAAAGATGCATAGGGCAAGGCCTGGGAGGGTCCCAAATACAGACGTTTCTATCCCCCTGGAGACAGAGGGTGTCGCTTCTGGCATGAAGATGTATTCAC